ATTTTGGGGCTCCTGACCCACGTAGTGGTCGATGTCCAGCTGCAGGAAGGTCAAAGTCTCGGGGGGCTGCGGGGGAGGGGCCGGGCGGCGCCACTTGGGGGGCACCTCCCCCACAAAGAGGGAACCTGGGGGGAAAGAGCAGAAAATGGGGTGAAAACAGCGAAAATCAGGCAAAAAGAGGAAAAAAAAAAAAAGATTCCCCAAAAAAATCCAAATTAAAAATTCCAAAAATCAAAATAAAAAAACGCAAAAAACCCAAATTAAAAATCAAAAAAAGTCCCCCAAAAATCCAAATTAAAAATCAAAAAAATCCCCAAAAAATCCCCCCAAAAATCCAAATAAAAGAAATCTCAAAAATCCCCCCAAAAATCCATATTAAAAATCCTGAAAATCCAAATTAAAAATCCCAAAAATTCCCGAAGAAACCCAAATAAAAAATCCCAATAAATCCCCCCAAAAATCCAAATTAAAAAATCTCAAAAATCCCCCCAAAAATCCAAATTAAAAAATCCCAAACATCAAAATAAAAAATGCAAAAAATCCAAATAAAAAAGTCCCAAAAATCCCCCCAAACATCCAAATTAAAAAAGGAAAAAAATCCAAATAAAAAATCCAAAAAAATCTCCAAAAAATCCCAAAAATCCAAATAAAAAATCCCAAAAATCCTCAATAAATCCCCCCAAAATCAAAATAAAAATCCCAAAAATCCAAATTAAAAAAATCCCAAAAATAAAAATAAAAACCACAAAAACCCCAAATTAAAAATGCCAAAAATCCAAATTAAAAATCCCAAAAAATCCCAAAAAATCCCCCCAAAAATCCAAATAAAAAATCCCAATAAATCCCCCCAAAAATCAGAATAAAAAATCCCAAAATTCCAAATTAAAAATCCCAAAAAAAACCAAATTAAAAATCGCCATAAATCCCCCCAAAAATCCAAATTAAAAATCCCAAAAATCCCAGTAAATCCCCCCAAAAATCTATATTAAAAATCCAAATAAAAAATCCCAAAAATTCCCCAAAAAATCCAATAAAATCCCCCCAAAAATCAGAATAAAAAATCCCAAAATTCCAAATTAAAAATCCCAAAAAAAACCAAATTAAAAATCGCCATAAATCCCCCCAAAAATCCAAATTAAAAATCCCAAAAATCCCAATAAATCCCCCCAAAAATCTATATTAAAAATCCAAATAAAAAATCCCCAAAATTCCCCAAAAAATCCAAATAAAAAATCCCAAAAATTCCCAAAAAACCCCAAATTAAAAATCCCAAAAAACCCCAAATTAAAAACCCCAAACTCCCCTAAACCCCCCCAAACCTGCTCACCGCTGGGCTGGCTCTGGGGGTCCGGGGGCAGCCCCTCCCCCATTCCCAGCTCCTCCTCCAGCTCCTCCAGTTCTCCCAGTTGGGCCAATTCCTCCTCGAACTGGGACGGGCCCTGGGGACCCCCCCGGAACTTCTTGGGACCCCCGGGGGGGCCCCCGGCAGCTCCCGCTCGCTTCGGGGACTCCATGGGGCTGGAAATGGGGAAAAAATGGGAAAAATTGGGAAAAATGGGGATGGGAAACGACCAGAATTCAAAATTCCCAAATTATTCCCAAAGTCCTCCTCAAAACGTCAAAATTTCCCGCAAAATTCCACTTAAAATTCACAAATTCTGCATAAAATTCTTCATTTTTTTGCCAAATCCCCCTCAAAATCCCCAATTTTGTCCAAAATTCCCCTCAAAATTCCACTTAAAATTCACATTTTCCCCTCAGAATTCTGAAATTCTGCAAAAAATTATTAATTTTTTTGCCGAATCGCCCTCAAATTCCTGAAATTTTCCCCAAATCCCCAAAAATCCAAATTAAAAATCCCAAAAATCCCAATAAATCCCCCCAAAAATCCAACTAAAAAATCCCCAAAAATCCCAATAAATCCCCCCAAAAATCCAACTAAAAAATCCCCAAAAATCCCAATAAATCCCCCCAAAAATCTATATTTAAAATCCAAATAAAAAAATCCCAAAAAATCCCAACAATTCCCGCCAAAAATCCAAATAAAAAATCCCAAAATTCCAAATAAAAAATCCCAAAAATCCCAAATTAAAAATCCCAAAATCGCCATAAATCCCCCCAAAAATCCAAATTAAAAATCCCAAAAATCCCAGTAAATCCCCCCAAAAATCTATATTAAAAATCCAAATAAAAAATCCCAAAAATTCCCCAAAAATCCAAATAAAAAATCCCAAAAATTCCCAAAAACCCCCAAATTAAAAATCCCAAAAAAACCCAAATTAAAAACCCCAAACTCCCCTAAACCCCCCCAAACCTGCTCACCGCTGGGCTGGCTCTGGGGGTCCGGGGGCAGCCCCTCCCCCATTCCCAGCTCCTCCTCCAGCTCCTCCAGTTCTCCCAGTTGGGCCAATTCCTCCTCGAACTGGGACGGGCCCTGGGGACCCCCCCGGAACTTCTTGGGACCCCCGGGGGGGCCCCCGGCAGCTCCCGCTCGCTTCGGGGCCTCCATGGGGCTGGAAACGGGGAAAAAATGGGAAAAATTGGGAAAAATGGGGATGGGAAACGACCAGAATTCAAAATTCCCAAATTATTCCCAAAGTCCTCCTCAAAACGTCAAAATTTCCCGCAAAATTCCACTTAAAATTCACAAATTCTGCATAAAATTCTTCATTTTTTTGCCAAATCCCCCTCAAAATCCCCAATTTTGTCCAAAATTCCCCTCAAAATTCCACTTAAAATTCACATTTTCCCCTCAGAATTCTGAAATTCTGCAAAAAATTATTAATTTTTTTGCCAAATCGCCCTCAAATTCCTAAATTTTTCCCCAAATCCCCCTCAAAATCCCAAAATTCCCCTTAAAATTCACAATTTTGCCCAAAATTACCCTCAAAATTCCACTTAAAATTCCCAAATTTCCCCTCAAAATTCCCAAATTTCCCCTCAAAATTCCCAATTTCCCCTCAAAATTTCCAAATTTTTACCTAAATCCCCATAAAAATCCTAAAATCTCCCTCAAAATCCCAGAATTCCCCTCAAAATTCCACTTAAAATTTACAATTTCCCCTCAAAATTTCCAAATTTTTACCTAAATCCCCAAATTTCCCCTCAAAGTTCCCAATTTCCGCCCAAAATTCCCAGATTTTCCCCTGAATCCCCCTTAAAATCCCAAAATTTGCCAAAAAATCCCCTGCGAGCAACCAAAATCCCTTCAGGGACCCCAAAAATCCCCTCAGGGACCCCAAAATCCCCTCAGAGAAATCAAAATTCCCTCAGAGACCCCAAAAATTCCCTCAGAAAAACCAAAATCCCTTCAGGGACCCCAAAAATCCCCTCAGGGACCCTAAAATCCCCTCAGAAAAACCAAAACTCCCTCAGAGACCCCCAAAAATTCCCTCAGAAAAACCAAAATCCCCTCACAGACCCCAAATCCCCTCAGGATCCCCAAAACTCCCTCAGAGACCCCCAAAATCCCCTCAGAACCCCCTAAACCGGTGGGGACCCCAAAAATCCCCTCAGAGAAACCAAAATCCCTTCAGGGACCCCAAAAATTCCCTCAGGGACCCCAAAATCCCCTCAGAGAAACCAAAATCCCTTCAGGGACCCCAAAAATTCCCTCAGGGACCCCAAAATCCCCTCAGAGAAACCAAAATCCCCTCAGGGACCCCAAATCTCATCAGAGCCCCCACAAAATCCCCTCATGGACCCCAAATCCCCTCAGAGAACCCTCAAATCCCCTCAGAAGCCCCTAAAGCGGCGGAGACCCCCAGAATCCCCTCAGGATCCCCCAAAGTTCCCTCAGAGACCCCAAAATCCCCTCACAGACGCCAAATCCCCTCAGGATCCCCCAAGACTCCCTAAGAGACCCCAAAATCTCCTCAGAGACCCCAAAACTCCCTCAGAGACCCCGAAATCTCCTCAAAACCCCCTCCGAGCTTCCCCCTCCCCTCACGGTTCCTGCGCCGCCTCCCTCATTTTCCCTTAAATCCCCCCAGAACTCCGGAGGAACCTCCCAGAATCCCATTATCCCTTCCAAAGACCACAAAAAACCCAAAATACCAAAAAAAAAACCCAAAATTCCTCTCAGGGACCCCCGGCCGCCCTCACCTCACTGAGGATCTCCCGCCAATGGCGGACCCGCCCCCAAACTGCGCTCTGATTGGTTGGTTATCACCCACGTGACACGCTGCTTCCGGTTCATGGGCGCCGCCATTTTACGTATTCCTCCATCCTCCACATAGGCGCCGCCATATTGAGACCGGGAAACCGGAAGTTCCCCTGCGTACGCGGCGATATGGAGGATGATAGAGCGGAAGTGCAGCTGAATGGGCGCGGCCATCTTGAATTAACCGGAAGTTCCGCACTAGGGTGCCGCCATATTCAGAGTAGCGCGCACCGGAAGTCCCCCATGGGCGCCGCCATATTGAGCACGGCCCCACCCCAACCTCACCCAAAATTTGGGATAAAAATCCCTGAAGATCCCACCAAAACTCCAATTTTAACCCCGCAAAATCCAATTTTAACCCTTTAAATACCTCTCAAAAATCCCTTTTAAGCCCCAAAAATCCCCTTTTAACCCTTTCAACGCCATTTTTTCCCCCAAAACCCCTCGGATTTTTCCCCCCCCACTCACAAAATTCCGGGAATCCCCGTTTTTCGGGATTTCTCCTCAATCCTCCTCCTCGTCCTCGGCGCCGCCGGCGCCGCCCTGGCCCTTCTTGGCGTTCTTCCTCTTGACGCGGCCGGGCCGGCCGCCGCCGTAGGGCGAGCGCAGCGAGAAGTCGATGTGCTTCTGCGAGTCCAGGCGCACGATGAACGAGGGGATGTTCACCACCTGCTTCCTCACCCTGCAATTTCGGGATTCCAAAAAAAAACCCCGCGTCAAAACACCGAAATTTGGGGGTTTTACGGCGAAATTTGGGGGTTTTACGGCAAAATTTGGGGTTTTACGGCGAAATTTGGGGGTTTTACGGTAAAATTTCGGGTTTTTACGGCCAAAATCTGGGTTTTTTCACCGTAAAAATGTGGAGTTTTTACAGACAAAATTTGGGTTTTTTGCGTCAAAAATTTAGGGTTTTTACGGCCAAAATCTGGGTTTTTTCACCGTAAAAATGTGGAGTTTTTACAGACAAAATTTGGGTTTTTTGCGTCAAAAATTTAGGGTTTTTACGGCCAAAATTTGGGGGTTTTACAGCCAAAATTTGGAGTTTTTATTGCTAAAATTTGGTGGTTTACGGCTAAAATTTGGGGTTTAACGATCAAAATTTGGGGTTTTTAGAGCAAAAATTAGGGGTTTTATGGTCAAAATTTGAGTTTTGTATGGCCAAAATTTCAGTCTTTTACGGCGAAAATTTGGGGTTTTACAGTAAAAATTTGGGGGTTTTACAGCCAAAGTTTGGGTTTTTTACGGCAAAAATTCGGGGTTTTTACAGCCAAAATTTGGGGTTTTATGCCCAATATTTGGGGTTTTTACTGTAAAAATGTGGAGTTTTTACAGAAAAAAATTTGGGGTTTTTGCGGCAAAAATTTAGGTTTTTTACGGTCAAAATTGGGGGTTTTACGGCCAAAATGTGGGGGTTTTACGGTGCAAGAAGTGGATGTGCTTCTGGGAGTCCAGGCGCACGATGAACGAGGGGATGTTCACCACCTGCTTCCTCACCCTGCAATTGCCAGATTCCCAAAAAAAACCTTTCTGGGATTTCTCCTCAATCCTCCTCCTCGTCCTCAGCCCAAACCCCCAAAAATCCCCTTTAAACACCCAAAATTCACCCTTCAAACCCCTCAAACTCCAATTTTAACCCCAAAACTCCAATTTTAACCCCAAAATCCCCCCTTAAACACCCAAAACTCCAATTTTAACCCCAAAATCCCCCCTTAAACACCCAAAACTCCAATTTTAACCCCAAAATCCCCCCTTAAACACCCAAAACTCCAATTTTAACCCCAAAACTCCAATTTTAACCCCAAAATCCCCCCTTAAACACCCAAAACTCCAATTTTAACCCCAAAATCCCCCCTTAAACACCCAAAACTCCAATTTTAACCCCAAAATCCCCCCTTAAACACCCAAAACTCCAATTTTAACCCCAAAACTCCAATTTTAACCCCAAAATCCCCCCTTAAACACCCAAAACTCCAATTTTAACCCCAAAATCCCCCCTTAAACACCCAAAACTCCAATTTTAACCCCGCAAAATCCAATTTTAACCCTTTAAATACCTCTCAAAAATCCCTTTTAAGCCCCAAAAATCCCCTTTTAACCCTTTCAACGCCATTTTTTCCCCCAAAACCCCTCGGATTTTTCCCCCCCCACTCACAAAATTCCGGGAATCCCCGTTTTTCGGGATTTCTCCTCAATCCTCCTCCTCGTCCTCGGCGCCGCCGGCGCCGCCCTGGCCCTTCTTGGCGTTCTTCCTCTTGACGCGGCCGGGCCGGCCGCCGCCGTAGGGCGAGCGCAGCGAGAAGTCGATGTGCTTCTGCGAGTCCAGGCGCACGATGAACGAGGGGATGTTCACCACCTGCTTCCTCACCCTGCAATTTCGGGATTCCAAAAAAAAACCCCGCGTCAAAACACCGAAATTTGGGGGTTTTACGGCAAAATTTGGGGTTTTACGGCGAAATTTGGGGGTTTTACGGTAAAATTTCGGGTTTTTACGGCCAAAATCTGGGTTTTTTCACCGTAAAAATGTGGAGTTTTTACAGACAAAATTTGGGTTTTTTGCGTCAAAAATTTAGGGTTTTTACGGCCAAAATTTGGGGGTTTTACAGCCAAAATTTGGAGTTTTTATTGCTAAAATTTGGTGGTTTACGGCTAAAATTTGGGGTTTAACGATCAAAATTTGGGGTTTTTAGAGCAAAAATTAGGGGTTTTATGGTCAAAATTTGAGTTTTGTATGGCCAAAATTTCAGTCTTTTACGGCGAAAATTTGGGGTTTTACAGTAAAAATTTGGGGGTTTTACAGCCAAAGTTTGGGTTTTTTACGGCAAAAATTCGGGGTTTTTACAGCCAAAATTTGGGGTTTTATGCCCAATATTTGGGGTTTTTACTGTAAAAATGTGGAGTTTTTACAGAAAAAAATTTGGGGTTTTTGCGGCAAAAATTTAGGTTTTTTACGGTCAAAATTGGGGGTTTTACGGCCAAAATGTGGGGGTTTTACGGTGCAAGAAGTGGATGTGCTTCTGGGAGTCCAGGCGCACGATGAACGAGGGGATGTTCACCACCTGCTTCCTCACCCTGCAATTGCCAGATTCCCAAAAAAAACCCCGCGTCAAAACACCGAAATTTGGGGGTTTTACGGCAAAATTTGGGGTTTTACGGCAAAAATTCGGTGGTTTTACAGTGAAATTTGAGGTTTTTACGGCCAAAATTCGGTGTTTTTACAGCCAAAATTTGGGGGTTTATGGAAAAAATTTGGGTTTGTTATGGTCAAAATTTGGGGATTTTACGGCAAAATTGGGGGTTTTACGGCCAAAATGTGGGGGTTTTACGGTGCAAGAAGCGGATGTGCTTCTGGGAGTCCAGGCGCACGATGAACGAGGGGATGTTCACCACCTGCTTCCTCACCCTGCAATTCCGGGATTCCCAAAAAACCCCGCGTCAAAAGAGCCAAATTTGGGGGTTTTACGGTGAAATTTGGGGGTGTTATGGCGAAAATTCGGTGTTTTTACAATGAAATTTGGGGTTTTAAGGCAAAAATTTGGGATTTTACAATGAAATTTGGGGGGTTTACGCCCAAAATTTGGGTTTTTTACCGTAAAATATATGAGGTTTTTACAGAAAAAATTTGGGTTTTTTACCGTAAAATATATGAGGTTTTTACAGAAAAAATTTGGGTTTTTTACCGTAAAAATGAGTGGTTTTTACAGTGAAATTTGAGGTTTTACGGCAAAAATTCGGTGTTTTTACAGCCAAAATTTGGGTTTTTTAATGCCAAAATTTGGGGTTTTTACGGCCAAAATTTGGGTTTTTTACAGCAAAAATTCAGGGTATTTACAGTCAAAATTTGGGTTTTTTACGGCCAAAATTTGGGGTTTTACAGTAAGAAGTTGGGGGTTTTACGGTAAAATTTGGGGTTTTTACAGCCAAAATTTGGGGGTTTTATGCCCAGTATTTTGGTTTTTTACCGTAAAAATGTGGAGTTTTTACAAAAAAAATTTGGGTTTTTTGCGGCAAAAATTTGGGTTTTTACGGTCAAATTTGGGAAAAAAGACAAAATTTGGGATTTAACACCAAAATTTCAGCATGTTCATTTCTGAAACCACCCCAAAAATGTGCAAAATCATCCAAAACCATCCAAAATCTGAGGAATTTGACCTTTTTTACCTGCATTTCCCCCTCTTTCTGCTGCCCTTCGCAAGGTGTACGGCGGAGCCGCAGTGAAGCCTTGCCGAGCGCTCCCAAAACCGCGGGAATTTCACCCAAAATTTGGGAATTTCAGGGATTTCTGCCTGTCACCCACCAGACACCATCCTAAATTTATTCAGTATCCTGAAATTGGGGAAAAGCTGCCAAAATTTGGGGGAAAAACACAAAAAATTGGTTCCTAAACTTGGGGAGTTGCTGTGAAAATCAGTCGGAAAAAATCCAAAATTTTGGGAAAAAACCCCAAAAATTGGGATTTAACACCAAAATTTCAGGACGTACATCCCTGAAACCACTCCGAAATATCCTAAATCATCCAAAATCATCTAAAATTTGGGAATTTGTGTTTTTTACCTGGATGTGCACCCTTTGTTTTGCTGCCCTTCGCAAGGTGTACGGCGGAGCCGCAGTGAAGCCTTGCCGAGCGCTCCCAAAACCGCGGGAATTTCACCCAAAACGTTGGAATTTCAGGGATTTGTGCCCGTCACCCACCATACACCATCCTAAACATACTCAAAATCCTAAATTTAGGGGAAAAGCTGACAAAATTTGGGAAAAAACCCACAAAATTTGCTTCCTGAAGTTGGAGACTTGCTGTGAAAATCGGCGGGAAAAAATCCAAAAATTTGGGGAAAAAAGACAAAAATTGGGATTTAACACCAAAATTTCAGGATATAGATTTCTGAAACCACCCCAAAAAATCCAGAATCATCCAAAATCTGAGGAATTTGACCTTTTTTACCTGCATTTCCCCCTCTTTCTGCTGCCCTTCGCAAGGTGTACGGCGGAGCCGCAGTGAAGCCTTGCCGAGCGCTCCCAAAACCGCGGGAATTTCACACGGCGAAATTTGGGGGTTTTACGGTAAAAATCTGGGGGTTTACGGCAAAAATTTGGGGGTTTACAGCAGAAATTTGTGGGTTTTACGCCCAAAAATTTGCTTCCTGAAGTTGGAGACTTGCTGTGAAAATCGGCGGGAAAAAATCCAAAAATTTGGGGAAAAAAGACAAAAATTGGGATTTAACACCAAAATTTCAGGACGTACATCCCTGAAACCACTCCGAAATATCCTAAATCATCCAAAATCATCTAAAATTTGGGAATTTGTGTTTTTTACCTGGATGTGCACCCTTTGTTTTGCTGCCCTTCGCAAGGTGTACGGCGGAGCCGCAGTGAAGCCTTGCCGAGCGCTCCCAAAACCGCGGGAATTTCACCCAAAACGTGGCAATTTCAGGGATTTGTGCCCGTCACCCACCGGATGTGGCGCTGGCGGATGAGCACGCGCGCGTGGTGGATGGACTTGGCCAGGCCCAGCTTGAAGACCTGGGTCTGCAGGCGGCGCTCCAGGAAATCCTCGATCTTCAGCCCCAGGATGTAATCCAGCTTCATCTTGCCCTCGTCCAGCACGCCGATGCGCACCAGGCGCCGCAGCAGCGCGTTGCCTGAGCGTTTGGGGGGAAAAATGAGCAATTTGATTTTTTTGCCTTGTAAAATCTAGATTTTTTCCCATAAAATCTAGATTTTTTCCCCTAAAATCATCATTTTTCCTCTAAATCTCCTTTTTTTCTTTATCTCAATAAAATCTTTTTTCCCTCAAAGTCAAACTTTCCCCCCAAAATCCCGATTTTCCCTCAAAATCTTTCCCTCCGAAATCCACTTTCTTCTCACAAATCCTTTTTTCCCCAAAATCCCTTTTTTCCCCCCATTTTCCCTTCAAAACCTCAATTTACCCTTCAAAGTTCCCTTTTTTCGAAAAAAATCCTTTTTTCCCCAAAAAAATCCAGTTTTTTTTCAAAAATATAACATTTTCTCCTCATAATCTGAATTTTTTTCCTCTTAAAATCTGGGTTTTCTTCCCTAATTTTCTTCACTGTTTTCCCCACAATGTTTTTTTTCATCTCAAAAGCCGTTTTTATTCCTTTTGCCCTCAAAACCCGGATTTTTCCTCTCAATTTCTCCCTCAAAAAGCCCCCAAAATCCAAATTTTCCCCTCAAAAATCCCATTTTTTCCCCAAACCCGCCCAAAACTCCATCTCTTCCCCCGGAAATCCCCTTATTTCCCCTCAAATCTAACTTTTTTCCCCCTCATAGTTTCCAAAATTCCCATTTTTTCTTTCGAAAATCCTCAAAAACCCAGAATTTCCCCCTCAAAAATCCCCACAAATTCTAATTTTTTCCCCTCAAAAACCCCATTTCCCCCCCCAAACCCCATTTTTCCCCCGAAAACCCCTTTATCCCTCCCCAAAAACCACTTTTTCCCCTCACAACTTCCACAATTTCCATTTTTTCCCCTCACAAATCCCCCAAAATTCCCATTTTCCCCTCAGTTTTACCGATCAGTTTCAGCTCCTGGTCGAGCCGCGACTTCTCGAAGGGGCGCCGCGGGGTCACGTAGGTCTTGCGACACACCCAGCTCCTGGCCACGGGCATGGCGACTGCTGCGGGGCCACATCGCCATATTCTTTAATCCCAAATTTCCCCGAAAACGCCCAAATTTTCCCAAAATTCCCAAATTTCCAGCGCCCCCCACCACCAACCACGTGGCGGGCTCTGCGCATGCGCGCCATTCTTTCCCGCTAGGGGGCGCCCGCGCCGCGCTTGCGCCCTCAGAGCTCCGCGCAGGCCTCAGAGGTTTGCCGAGGCCTCAGCTCCGCATTAAAGCGATGCTGCCGCTCCCGGTAAATCCCGGGGAGGTCCCGGTGGTACCGGAGAGGCTCTGGAAGAGGCGGCGGGAGCCCCGTAGGGATCCCCGGTACCGGCGGCGAGAGCGGCCTCACCTTATTTGCGCCGCGTTCGCGGGCCCGGAAAGAAGGGGACGCCTGCCAGCGTCGCTTTATATACTCTGGTGGAATAGGTCACGCCCACTTTCTTCGTGACAACCAATCAGAGCACGCAGCGGGGGCGGTGTCTCCCAATAAGGGAGGGGGGCGTGACGACCATAGAGATGAGGAGAGGCCGCGTAGGGCGCCGCCATGTTTTCCTGAGGGAGGGGGAGAGCGCGGGGTCCTCCAAGGGGGAGCGGGTGGATTTTTGGGGTGAATTTGGGACATTTTGGGCGATTTTAGGGGACATTGAAGGCTCGCGCATCTGTCCAGGTGTGTCCCCGGATGTCTGGGGGCTGCGGCTCCGTGTTCCCCCCTCAATGTCACAAAAACCCCCAAAACTCCCGTCCAAAATCGCCCAAAATCCCCTAAAAACCTCCCACACCCCTCAACGCCGCCAAAATCCCTCCCAATGCTCCCAAAATCCACGAAAAAATCCCTAAAACCCACCGAAACACGCAAAAAACCCCCGAAACCCCAAATTCCCGATCAAAATCGCTCAAAATCCCCACACACCCCCAAAACCCAACAAAATCCCCCAAAATCTCTCCCGGCGTCCCGAAATTCTCAAAAAATCCCCTCGAACCCCCACAAAAAACCCCAAAATCCCCATCCCCATCCCCTGTTGCCATGACAACCCTTCCGAGCGCCCCGCCCCTCCCTTTGAGGCGTTGATTGACAGCCCGCTCGGCCAATCAGCGCCGGCTCCCGCCTGGGCGGGACCATTGGCCGTGCCGAGCGCGGGGGGGGCCGGGGGGCTGGGGGGGGGTCGCCGTCGGTCGCGATCGGTCGCGACAGCGGC